TCGAAGGCGGGGGCCAGGGGGGAGGCTGGGTCCCCGGGGCTGATCCGGCTGACCGTCAGGTCGCTCTCCACGCCGCCCCGCTTGTTCAGCATGCAGGTGTACACGGTCGAGCCTGGGGGAAGGAGACGGGCACCGCTGCCCATCAGCCGGTCCCGGCACGGAGCCGCGGCCCCGGCAGAGGGAGGTGGGTACCAGGAAAATTAGTCCTCATCGCTACATCAGCTGCCACTGCCTGGGTATGCCCTGACGGACCCTGGATGTCCCAGCACCAGGAGGGAGACAGGAGCTGGGCTTTTTCCACGTGAGAGGAGCTGAAGCTGCATCCTTGGAAATGCCATAAGCTGCCTCCCAGCCCCAGAGAAGGGGGCAGCTTCTCCCCGTGAGAACCGCTGCTGGTGAGGGTTGTGCTTGATTTACTCCAGTACCCATCACATCTCCAGCTGCGAGCCACAGCTGGAGCCAGAGGGCCAGCACCCCCCCTCCCTCGCCCCCCAGCTCACAAGACGTTTGTCCCGGTGCAAATGAGAGCAGAAGCCAGGCTGCAGTGAGGACTCTCACACTCTCAGTCACTCTCACACGCTTCCCAGACCCTCTGCAAAAGCAGCATTTAAAAGAAAAACCAGTTTGGGTCCCCCCCGGTTTGTTTTGGTGTAAGAGGTGATTTCCCAGGGCAGCGCTCAGCAGAGGCAGCGTGCAGCCGAAATAAGGGGGCTGAGCCGGTACCTGGTTCTTTGCTCACATCGGCAGTAAACAGCCAGTTCGCCGCTTTTGTTGCTTCAGGCCCAACCAGGTAGAATTTCCCAAAATAAGACATGTCGAAGAGAGCCAGGGCATTTCTGCACGTTAAGCATTCATTCTTGATCTAAAATTAAAGCAAACACACCAGTGAAGTTGAGCCGTATTCCCACTCCACAAAGGGAGGCACATACTAGAAGCGTTTATGTAATGAGAAACAATACCAGGACATTCGCCTGGTGCCTTTAAAGGCTGCAAGGCTTTTCACTCCTGAAAAATCAGATATTAAATGGAGCAAGTCTAAGAGGCCTTCCTGTATGCTCAATCCCATTCTTTATGTCACTAACACAGTGACAGTTAACAATAACAATGGTTAAATTTGATGAAATTGGGTATTTCCCCCAAGCTCAACTCTTTCCTTTGGGAAAGCAGCAGTAAAATCCCCGTGGCCTCTCCACCGAGGTTTCTGAGCACGGGCCACACATTTCTCTTAACCTTTTTGAAACATTTTCCCCAGTTTTGGACAAAGCTTGCTGCTTCCCCTCCCTGCGAGCCTCACCGACTCCACCCAAAGCGGCAGTGTGGCTCTGCTGCCTCTAACCCCCAGCTCCAGATGTGCCCAGCGGTTTCAGCCGGGGGGGGCTGCCCCCCTGCACTCACAATGTCATGGTGGGGGGGGAAGTCAAAGGTGTACTCGTCCCCCAGCAGCCGGTTGTAGGTGTAGTCCCTGTGGCGCTCCTGGCCGTACGCGCCGTAGTAGTCGTAATCCAGAACCTGGGGGGGAAGCGGGAGGATGGGGACAGTGAGGAAGACAGCATGAGGCCGAAGCCGAGGGGCTGCTCCCAGTCGCATTCACCCCATGCCAGGAGAGGAGCGGGTCTGTGCAGGACCTGGCTGC